AAGCCTAATCCCTTTGCTACCGATGAGCAGATTAAGAGCCATCCCGCGGGCTTCTTTTCTGGCCAGCTAGATAAGAGAGCTACTAAGAAACCCAGCCCACAGGGCTTGCCGATTCAGGCCGGCTCACCCCAAGACACCTTCGGCGGCGTCGGCAAGCCTAATCCCTTTGCTACCGATGAGCAGATCCAGAACCACCCCGCGGGCTTCTTTTCTGGTCAGCTGGACAAGTAAGCTACCGAGAAACGCGACCCGCCGTTCTTCGGCGGCGAGGGCGACTTTGACCAAGGATTTGGCGAAGTATTCGGTGGATAATTCGGAGATGATGGCTTTGGTGGAGGCGTCGGCGCTGACTAGACTTTGGAAGGGTAAGCAATCAGTTTCCAGAGGACCAATACCGTTACAGTGCTGATGCTCTTGGCAGACTACACGCAAAATCTTGAGATACACATACCTGCAGTGCAGGACCTACTACCAGGCAGGGACGCTTCTGGGGGGCTGGGTGAGCTGGGAGTGTAGTGTCTAAAAGGAAAAGATAGACTGGCATGGAAAAGCTGTATCTTTATTGTGAAGCCTTTTACCACGTGTTTTCTCCTTAGTTATAGAACAGTTCGTCACCTCACTTCCTGCTCCGTAGCGGAGGAAGCTAGCCTGTGCAGAGGTGATATACAAAGTCATTTACAAGAAATTCATTTGTGATTTCATCAACGAGGTCCGTCTGTTCTGCAACTGCAGCAGACTTGTAGACGGAGGAGGCTGTGCGGAGCTCGGCTACAACGGCAGCGGCCCAAGCCTTCTTTCGAGCTTGCAGGGTTGAGGCGCCCACTGCAGCAAACCCGCACGCTGTAATTTGTAGTGGAAATCAGATGACCCCATTAGGCTATCCTTTATTAGCGCAATGTTACATCGTTGTCCAGCAATCCAGATAAGTAGCTAAGCTAACTGTAATGACAGACGGCTTAGAAGCCGGAGGAACGATCTCCTATTACCTAGTATATATATATACTATACTAGTAGAAAGAACTTATATAATATAATAACTACCTCTTATTATGCCTTATTGGTCCTAATAAACTAGGCTACACTTGGCGTAGGGAACTTTTGCATTGAATTTCTCATTGGGCCGATTGCCAGGATGGCCCGTCTAAACACTCATTTTGGACCCTGTGGTTCAAACACACAATAGCTAATCAATGTGGCACAAATTTCTCATTATCCCGTCGCATCACTCTACTCTCCGAGCTCTTCGCCGTCTCCCGTCTGTCTAAAACCTAAAAAGGGTCAGGATATCCCAGTTCTCTGCGCTCAACAAAATGGTTCAGATCCAACACATCATCCACATTCACCTTGACTTCTCAAAACATCTACCTGAATTCAATTTTACTTTCGTACCCTCTCATCGCAATCATGAAGACGGCATCGAGCAGCGTCATCACCGGGGCCGCCCTTATCGTTGGTGCCGCCAATGCTCATTATGCCAACATGGGACTGGCTGGTGTCAGCTGTTATATCTATAACTCCTGAGGGTCATATGATTGTCCGTAACGCTGACGGAACGTCACGATAACCCTATCATCACCGGCAGCCTTACCAAGCGCGTTGGCATTGAGTGCATCGTCCGCTTCTGCCGTGGAGCTAGTGAAGAGGCTCGTCAGGATGAGGTCGTCTCGCGAGGATCTCTAATTTGAGCTTGACCATGTGTCTCGTTGTCTTGTATCGACTTGGCAAGAGAATTTCTTATGTTACAACGTCACTATTTTCAGCATAGAGTAGCTACGCTAGACTTGATACGATACAATGTGACGCTATGATTATTGTAATACGCTGTGTGCCCTGATAGCGCTTAGGTGCTACTTAGCAGCTCTGGATTTGGCCGAACAATACTTTGGACTTGAACCCTGTTTTTTGCAAAATTTGCCAAGGTAGGTTTAGCACCATACTGCAGTTCTTGACATGATTCGATTTTGTCACTATATTTGCTGTTATTATTGCAAGGCCGCTGCCTCGGTCCAAGTAGACCGCGTCACCTGCTTGGCAGACCCCGGCTGCCAGAGCTGCAGCAACCCGTCAGGGGTCTTGATTCATTGCTGGCTCGTGCCAGCGCCACCGAACCATCCGAGCTTGTTGACAGTCCACGCAGCGCAAGCAAAATATTTTGAACTCGGCCTCGACATCATACACCATACACCGCAGTCATGTCCTCGTCTCCTTCAGATGCGGGCTGGCTCTACAGCGCGGCACTCTTTGTTTACTCGTCAACCATTGTGCGCTTCGTCACCGTGACATGTGTATGTACACTGATCCGCAGCTTCCCGCTGTAGATTTCGCTGATGCGACCTCTAGCTTCTCATCGGTTCCGTGTCTATTCTTCCCCTCGTCATCTTTCTCACCATCGACATCATTCTTTGGTGCTGGAGAATGGCTTGGTATCGCTCGCCTGACGAGCTTGCTCAACCAGTCGACGCGCAACCTGACCCCAAGGCTTCGACAACCACTTCCATCAGTACAAACGGTGCTTCAAGGGCACAAGCTACGCGGCGAAGATGATAGCGAATCATGACTACCAGCATCTTTGTTTTGATTTGTCTTTCCAAGCCAACTATTCAATGTCTTTTTTTAACTCGTCTTTCCAAGCCAGCTATTCAAGTGTCCTTTTTTTATATATCCTTTTGACAATGGGCATTATTTACGGAAACTGCGAAATAACCTTGATTAGATCAGCCGTCACGCCCATGGCAGTGACATCGCCGCCGGCTCCGGCGCCCTGGATGATGAGCGGGTTGCTGCCGTACCGCTCCGTGTAGAAGCTGATGATGTTGTCGCTTCCCTTGAGGGCAGCAATGGGGTGGGAGCGGTCAAACTCTTGCAGGCCGACCTTGACGGCGTTTGCGGCCACGTCGATGCTGCCGACGAAACGGACAACCTTGCCGGCCTTTTCGGCGGCCGCCTTGGTCTCTTCCATCTGTGCGTCAAACGCGGGGAGCTTCTCGAGGAAGTCGTCGCCGCTGGTGCACGTCTCGAGCTCCTTGGGGATGAGGCTCTGGACGGGGAATGAGGTGGGCGACTCGACGGGCAGGCCAGCGAGACGGGCGAGGATGGTGAGCTTCCGGGCGACGTCGAGGCCGTTGAGGTCGTCGCGGGGGTCGGGCTCGGTGTAGCCGAGGGCCTTGGCCTTCTTCACCTCGTCGGACCACTTGCCGCCTTGCCCCTCGGTGGGCGCAAAAGAGTTGAAGAGGAACGACATGGTGCCGCTAAAGACGCCCTCGATCTTGGTCACCTTGTCGCCGGTGTCGACGAGGTCCTTGAGGGTGGAGATGACGGGCAGGCCGGCGCCTACGGAGGACTCGTGGTAGACCTTGGCACCCGACGCGGTGGCGGCGATGAAGATGTCCTTCCACAGCTGGTAGGAGCCGGAAAAGGCCTTTTTGTTGGGCGTGACGATGCTCACGCCGCGGGAGAGGGCGAGGGGGTACTGATCGGCGACATCCTGGGACGAGGTGTTGTCGACGAGGATGGTCCTGGCGGGGGCGGCGGCGAGGTACTCGATGACCTGGGCCAGCGCGGGCGGCGTCTTGGTGGAGGCTGCGAGGGTGTCAAGGGCGCTGTCGATGCTGATCTCGGCATAGTCGTCGTGGAAGAGGGCCTTTTTGCTGGTCGAGATGTAGCAGAGCGTGAGCTTGGGCGACGGACGCCGGGTCGCGAGCGTCTGGAGCTGCGACAAGAAGGACTTGCCGACGCCGCCGGCGCCTGGGTAAATTAGCGATTAGAGCGCGGCTGCAGGAGGCGAACGGGTTGGGAAATATTCTTACCGATGACGGCAATAAAAACTTGGTTCGCGGCAGCCATGATTTGAGAAGAATGCAGAGCAATGGGAATATGTAAAAGAGAGAGGGGTGCGAGAGTCAATTTTGAGATGCGATAGCGGGGTGCTTCGAAAGCGTCACACCACCAAGGCCGTCAGGGTCGATAACCGGCGGCGGGACAGCGGCAGAGTTTCAGGCTAACGTACCTACAGTGGGACATAGTTTAGCAAATTACCACCAAATTCCCTGGCCTTGTTGCTCGGAAATGCCTCGAGGCACTGTTGTCTTGGTGGGGGAAGCAAATATCACGTCATTGCACATGCAAGCAGTGCACATTGTCCATGGCGATGCGCCTCATTCGTGCGCTTTTTTTATTCATATCTACAAGACGTGCGTTTTCTATATATAAAGGCGAAAGGAACCGTCTCTCAAATCGTGCTGTGGTCGCCGTCTGTATTTCCTTAATTCTTACAGAGCCTTGGCCAGAAAGGCGTCCAGCTGCGGCGGCTTGGGCTCAAAGACGTCGTCGAGGCGGCTGCCGTCCTTGAAGAGGATAAACGTGGGCATGCGGCGCACGTTGAGCTCCTTGCTGAGGCCCTGGAGCACGTCGACGTCAATCTTGCAAAAGTAGACGTCCTTGAACTTTTCGTCGGCCGCGTGTCTAGAAAGTTGGCCGTGTCAACATGGGGGGTGCGCCGGGGGTCATCATGGCGGGGTAAAAACGAGGGGCAGAGAGGAGAGACGGCTCTGGCTTTTGTCGCATGAGCAACGGGCGTCAACGTACTTTTTGAAAAAGGGATCAATCATCTTGCAGTCACCACACCAGAGAGCGTGGAAGTCGGCGACGACCACCTTGTGCTCCTTGAGCGCGGCGTGAAAGGTGTCCTCACTGGTCAGTAGGTTAGCCAAAGGCTGACGTGGAACTCAAGAGTCCCTGCCGCGGGGATGCAAAGACCTACTTTGTAATTTCTTCAATCGCCATTGTGTCTGCGGTAGTGTCTAGATGTTGGGGAATGGAAAGTACGAGTTGGACCTCGAGTTCAAAAACTCCAAACGGGCCTCTCGCGCAGCGGGTCTGGCGGGTGGCGTGCTTTACAGGTGCTCTGGGTCTATCAGGTATTACCAGGCTCAACCCGCCTCAGAAGGTGACATGCCTTCCAGAAGGGGACACCTGAGTACTGTAGAAGCTTCTGTAATTGATTTACAAATAATTAACGGTGAGGCTGAAATGAGTAATGAGTAACGTGCTACAGAGAGGTGCGTCTCATTAGTAATGAGGTAAGAGGCGGTTTTATCCATTCACTGCAGTAAAAATAATACATCCAATATACGCATCCGCACATACAGTATTTTGAATCATTGGCAGAGTTCTCAGAGTAACGAATCAGTTGAGCTCAGCCATCGCAGACAATACAATACATTGATCAACCGCCGTTAGTTAGACTGATCAACCCCACCAGGGAGGGACGTCAGCTAATCATGTACACACCAGCCCAGCAATTCGTTCCTAGTTAACAACCAACAATCGTCCCCAAAACTTGACCTATTACCAAGTACTCTTCCGTCCATGGCGTGAAGAAATGCCTATTCCAGGCTTTCCTCCCGTCAACACCGCAACCACGGATCACGCCCCGCGACACAAGAAATGGGCTCCCCGGTCCAGATCTGGCTGCTTCACCTGCCGGTACGTGACCAAGCTCAACGTCCCGCTCCCCTGACACCCGCTAACACAGTACTCGGTACGCTTCCAGGACCGGCCGCGTCAAATGCGACGAGGCCAAGCCCGTCTGTGGCCGGTGCGTCCGCCTCGGCAAGCACTGTTCCGGCTACGGCGTCGTCATGCCGACGCGCACCACCTCGAACGTGCTCATCGCTCCCAAGACCGTGGAGGCGCGGCCGTCCCACCCGCCTGGTATATGCATCGAGGCCGAGCCGCCGAGCTGGGACCATATGCAAGCCATTCGATTCTGTACGGACCGTCTTCCGCCTCCTCCTCTCTCTCTCCCCCCTCGCCGACGCTGACTCCCAACCCGGACAAGACGTGCTGCACTTCCTGCCCGCCCAGTCCGCCCACCTCCCCCAGCCCAGCGCCCCCAGATTCGACACCTGGAGCCACATGCCCGTCTTCCTCATCTGCAGCATGGTTACGCAGCAGCTCCAGTGGGCCTCGGCGGCCCGCGGCCGGATACTGCGGCCCGGCGAGGACCCCGCGTTCGCCGGCACCTGGGCCAAGTACTTTGGCTACTACCGGAAGCTCCTGGGCGTGACCAACGCGTGCATCGAGAACGGTGGGCCCGGAAAGTACCGCGCTCTGTTTTGCATCTTTGGGCTGTTCTGCATGGACATCAAGGCCGACGAGCCGCTGTGGCAGGCCCATCTCAACGGCGCGTTCGCCTATGTTGACAAGATGGGCGGGCTCGAGGCGCTGCTACAGTACCCTCCGTCCTTTTCTGGCTACGTATTGAAGGATCTGAAGCATGTCTTGCTGCAAGTCTCTCTCGAACCCCCAACCAGGCGTCGCTTCCGAGCCAGCAGACACAAATCACGTCTTCGTTTGCTAACTGTTCCCGCGTTTGCATTGCTAGAGCGTCCATCATGTGCAACACCACAAGTCCTATCGGGAGACAGGTTCGCGGCCTGGACTTCTTTACCGATGCGGACATGATGACAATCATCAAGAGCGGCACCGTCATCCAGCCGCCCCTGCCCGTAGACATCTTCATTTCCATTGCGCGCTTCACGCAGCTCCGTATCGCTGCAGTCACCGGATCCATCCCAGAAACAGACATATCTGACGCAGCGCAGACCCAGCTCGCCACGCTAAATGCCCTCGACCCGGAGGCATGGGCCGCAGAGCATGGCCTGGGCGACTACCCGCTCGTGGCCGCCACCGGCCGCATATTCCAGGCGGCAACACAGCTGTATGTGGCGCTCACCCTCGGTCGGGTACAAGGTCTCGTACACGGGATGCTTCCGGCGCTGCAGAAGAGGCTGGTGACGCTTCTGGACGCGATATGGAACAATATCCGCAATCACGGCACCCTACTGTGGCCGCTGATCGTAGCCGGCGTCGCGGCGGCCGGCGGCTCCGAGGAGGACCGTGCCTTTGTCGCGCAATGCTTCCACACGGGTAGTCGGAGCCGGAATCTGTTTGTGGAGTTTTCAAGATGTGGGAGCAAACTCGAACAGATATGGGCAGACCAGGTGACAGACTGGGACGACTGCTTTAAGGAGCCTTTTGTGTGCATGGTATGATACCACGAGGCTGTCATAGATCCCCGGCGGTCGCCACAAGATTCGGTTTACTGCGCACAATATAATTACATTGGCCGAATTGTGTTCTTACCATCCTTTCCTTGTCATTGTGTAATAGAGTCCGTTAGATTCTAGACTCATCATTCACAGTATCATTAGCTGGCGTAAATTACCACAAAAACCAGGAGTATATTTCAACGAATATGAATTTGGTCATATAAATACATTTCTATTTCTATTCGTTCTTCGAAGACAACTCACTCGGCCGATGGCGTGGTCCAGACACATGCCCCACCCAAGCAGGTATTACCAACCACACTTCGCGACTGATTTTTGGGATGGAACTCTAACTACAAATTACCATCTGCATCCTCAAGACAAACTCAGGCTCGCTCGTACCCGATATTCACGGCAAAAAACGCATCAGGGGATGTTGCAGATATGAGAGTGATGTGATTGGATTCCACAGACACACGGTGCCGCAGACCGTCACCAGCACAAAAGACACACATTCTCACACGAGATGCCTCAAGATCCAAATCTCTACGGGCAGCGGCCCAAGAAGAAGCCGCGCAAGGATGCCGCCCATTCATCCTCCCTGGACTTTACAGCGCAGCTGACCTCGCTTATGGCATCGTCTGGCGGCTCGTCAAGGGCCACCACCGCCGGCCGCGCCCGCCCTTCCAAGGAGCCCAAGGACGACCTGTTTCGCACCCACACGGCCCGGAAGCGGGAAGCAGAAACACGCGCCCAGGATGAGAAACTCGTCCTCAAAGACGTCACCGGGACCGAGGATGAGTCGCGCGAGCGAGCCCGCGCGAAGCGCAACATGGAGAACAAGGCGCGCCTCTACGCAGCGATGAAACGAGGCGACTACGTGCCGCAGGACAATGAGGCGGGCCCCCTGATTGACTTTGACCGCAAATGGGCCGAGAACGACGAAGGCAAGGACCTTTCCGACCTCAGCTCCTCCGGCGACGAGGCGGCGGCGGACGGCGGGGACGACGAGATGATGGAGTACGAGGACGAGTTTGGCCGCCTGCGGCACGGCACGCGCGCCGACAAGGAGCGCATGGAGCGGCGCGCGCGGCGCGGCCTGCTCGGCGCCGAGGAGCTGGACCGCATGTCGGCGCGCCCGGCGGCACCGAGCCAGCTCATCCACGGCGACGCCATCCAGGCCATGGCGTTTGCGCCCGACGACCCGGAGCAGATGGAGGCGCTGGCGCGCAAGCGCGACCGCAGCGTGACGCCGCCCCCGATGAAGCACTACGAGGCCGACAAGGAGGTCCGCACCAAGGGCGTCGGCTTCTACCAGTTCAGCCGCGACGAGGCCACGCGGCAGGCCGAGATGGCTGCCCTCGAAGAGGAGCGCACGCGCACCGAGGCGCGCCGCCAGCAGGGCGAGGACCGCAAGGCCGCGCGGAGGAGGGAGATGGAGGAGCGCAGAAGGGAAATGGCCGCGAGGAGAGCGACGAAGCAGGCGGATAGCTTCCTGAGCGGCTTGGGGGAGTAGATGTATTCGGGGTAGGTAATGAAAAACAACTTGAGTATGTCGTTTCCTGCCATTCATTGCCCTGCCAGGCCCGTCCGCGTTCAAAAGTGAAGTTTTGAGAGAAGCTTTTTTCTTCTATTACTGTTATTTTCTGTTACTTTTCTCTTCTTTTCCTGCTATCATTCTTCGTATTCTTATCCTGCTTCCCTTTCCCGCTTCTTCTCCAGTACCAAGCTAACGCTCAAAAATCATATTGCAGTGGGCTGCACGCGTCAAGGAAAGATGTCATCAGGATCCTCGCTGCTCTTGTCTTTCTCTCCCTGGACGAGAGACAGGTTGGTAACGAGCAGCCAGCCAACACAATGAAAGGCCGTGATCACGCCAAAACTCCCGACATTGGCGCGAACCAACAAGGCCATGGTTTACACCAAGGTATATAAGCGCGAGTAGTTCGCCTCCTTAAAGTTTCCCACACAGATGCGGGACGGCTTCGTGACCGACTATGGTGTGAGTAAATAATGCACTAGAGGAAGGTTTTCACGGCACCCACAGATGTAATCGCCGCTTTCAGTTTGTCTAGTCTTCTTCTCTGCTTCCTATGTATTGGCTTGCAGTATCGATTTGAACACTTTCTCATCGCTGTTCCTCAAGATTCTCAGGATACAACCAGTACATCGCAGCTTACGCGAATCCGGCTCTTCCACACCGCAAAGGAATTCTCAAAAACGCCGCTACCCTACTCAGAAAACAGCCGATAATTCTCTGTGCTGCTCCCCCTCTGCCCAACGATGGATCGAGCTGGGATCTGCACATCACAAAGCCGCCGCACGGGTCAGCACAGCAACGCAGCAGCAGCAGCATGGGTTTCAGAGTACACTGAAGAGACGGACATTGGTTCAGCCGTGTCCTACAGCGATACCTCCTCCATCTCCAATCCCCCCAAACTGCACCGCCGCGCGCGCGCGGCGGTGCGCCGGGCCTGGGACAATTTTACAGCCCGTGTCGCGAACCGCTTCCAACGCATGGGCCTGGGCCCGTGCCCAGATCGCATGACGGCGGGCTTGCTGCCCCCGGTGAAGACGCGGCGGCGGCGCGTATGCGCGGGGGTGCGGCAGTCGCGGGAAACGCAGCCTCCATCACGACGCACCCATATCGGGCAGCGGCGCTCCGCGTCGCAGGATACGGGAGGCCCGTTACGACCGATGCCGCCTTTAAATGGGCCAGGCATCTCACCGCTGATGGCTGCGTCTTTGATGATAATGCTTTGAGTGTCTGCCATGTCGTTCTTGGCCATCTCCGGGGCGGTACTGTACTTGCCAGTCTGGTTCATGAGAAATACAACGCAAACGCGGCATTGGAACTGAAAAACAAAACTACAGGACACTATACAGAGGGACGCTTCTAAATTCAACATGTTACGCTCCATGTCCAGAAATGGGATGGGTTTCTTGTCAAATCAGAGACGTGTCACGGCTGGAAGCGCCGAGCCTGGAGTCAACCACTACGTCAACAGATTCTCCATGCGTCTCACTCGCACATTGGACGTCCCTATGGGCTTGGCCACGAAAGCAGGTGTTTTTTTACAGTACATGATATTGGGCGTCTCTATATATATATGATGATTTTAGGGATGTCAAATCTGTTCTCTATGGGCTTGTTTCGAAAAAACCTCCATCTCGATAGGCGGCGCAAATTCTTCGGTTGCAGTGACACCAAGGTAGCAAATATGAACCCGAGTTTGACAAACTTACCGATCAGAAACGTATGGTGAAGGTTGGAAAATGGAAAGAATTTGTCCTGGATGCCATCTGTATCAGACGAGCCATGCTCAGCCCAAGCTTCGGAGGAGTAACCCCCGAGTTTTAGACTCACATATTAAGTGCATGTGATATTCGAATATAGCATTTTTCGGCAGAAAAATGCTTGGCATCGCTTTGAAACTCCCATTAGCGACGATTGAGGTGGTACTGACACGCGAGGCCCGATATGGTCTCCGACTATAGAACCGTGGTAAGTGCAACAGCAAACAAGTACCTACAGTGGTATATCGCAATCAGAACAGATAGCTTTGAACGAGAATTTCAGTAAGGATCCAACTGTGTGACGTATTCTCAGCACACTATATAGTCAATGCATCCCACTGTCAATCTGCTCACACCACCATCTACTTTGTCTCACCAACTTTCACACACACGCACACACACACACACACTCTCTCTCTCTCTGCACTACTCGCCAAAACCATGTTATTCTACCGAACCGCCCTCCTCCTCCTCGCGGGCCGCCTCAGCGCCGCGTCGGTGCTCTCTCCGCACAGCATCTGCAGCGAAAGCGCCAAGCGCATCTGCTACGAGGACGACGGCGGCGAATCGCAGGGCCTCGACCGGGCGCACGTGCAGTACGTCGCCGACTACCTGCGGTTCCTCGGGCGCTCCGGCGACACGCCGTTCTGGACGATGCCGCGCGAGGAGGCGGGCGGCTGCGGCGAGTGGACGCTGCCGGTGCCCGGGGCCGCGCCGGTGCTGCCGCTGGCCAAGCATACGAGCCCGTGGCTCGCGTCGTCGGTGCTGTACGAGGACCTGGCGGCGGCCGTCGACGGCGACGGGGGCCTGCTGGCGTGCGGTGACGCCGGCGGCCAGGTCGGGGTCGTGGCCAACGTGACGAATCCGCTGTACGATGGCGAGGAGTATAAGAAGACGGGCGCGAAACCGGAGGGTATCTTGATGAAGCTGGTGAGAGCCCCTCGGGACTAGAGTTCAGGTGGAGAGTGGGAGGAATTCGTTGGCTCTCGTCCACTGCGCTCCCTCCGTCCATTTTCTCGGAAGGCGACTTGGAGCTTCTCTAGGTACGAATTAGTCAGTATGATAAATTTAAATTTATACATTTTTTCTGGCCGACTAGTAGGATGATTTGTCGATTTTCGTTTTCTCATTTGTCCTACCCGGTAGCTGTCCCGACTTGACAGGCGACATGCAGACTGGGGATGACGGGTTACATTTGACAGAATGGCAGACAAACATGACAAACTCGGGAGTTTTTTTTATGCGGGTGAGCAGACACGACAGCCTGCAGGGTCAGGCTTTGGGGCAGATCAGAGGATGAGGTGAGAACAAGTTCGCGCCTCTCAGCCTGTAGGTTGTCGTGTCAGTCGGTACCTGGTAATACATACCATAATTAGAGGTAGTCAGGCAGTGATGGGCGGCAGCCTGAACAGGGCCGTCGACCCAGGCTCTCGGGACAAGGTGCTAGCTCCCGCGGGGGACCCATTTTTACTCTACGAGAGTATTTTTCCAGCTTCTGTTTTTTTTTCAGTGCTTTTTTTTGTTTCCCCATCACGACAAGTACAAGTTCCGGCGGTCCGGATTGGCGGCGGGGGGCGGCGATTGGACCATGGTGGGACGGCTGGCACGTTGGGCTAGGCCCTCGGCAAGTGTTGGCACACACGGTTGTGTTTTGAATCTGCTTGCGGTTTTGGTCTTGGGTGGGAGATCTCGTGACGACAGGCTAGCCTCTCAACAAAAACACTAAGAAAGGATGCAGGGAATGGAGGCATCACGAGACATCTTTCTTTGGTCCAAGGTGGCTTGGAGCGACCAGCGACCAGGTACGCATCACGGGCTAGTTAATCTCTGTCACCGTGCTTTGATTAGATACCGAGGGGGTAATTTTAAAGCATCAAAACGACTGGATTTTGAGGCGAGCTCATTTTGCGAGTCGATGATAGCCGTCGATGGTCAGGGAGGAGGAGATCCGAACGCTCTTCTTCCACCGGCGGGTGGGAAGCGATGGTGTGTTGTACGAAGAAGCCAAACGGCCTGGGATGCTTGAAGTGATGGCAGATCACGGCATTTCAATAGTATTAAATGTAGTAATATGAAGAAATAGTTAATTTCTGTAATTGACCAGGCGGCCATTCATTCAGCGGTAACTAGCACGACGAAGGCCGCTAGAATAAATATATGGGTACCTTGCCTATTAATATGTCTGGGGTACTGGCAAGGCATAAGTACAGGATACCTGGCACACGGGAGAGCCGACGATAGAGAGGCGGGTACCCGAGACCTTTCTATTCTGTACCCGCCAGCGAACAAAGGAGGCCTAGCGCAGCGGTCTGGCTCTGGGGCAGGGGCCAGAACAACAAGCTTTCATCTTGCGCTACTTGTGCGTGCAGAGCCGTGACACTGGAACGCTGGCAGTGTGACTACCTAGGTATGTAACTAGCTGTCCGTACTCGTTTCGTCGTGTCGTGTTTCCTGTCGTGTTTCCTGTCGAGCTTGTGTGTCAATGTTGTGTGGCTCGGGCGATGAGTGGCTCGTTTTGGCCGTGGCTGGACGGGGGCGGCCAGGATCTTCTGGAACAAGAAAACGTGCACGCTCGTGAGTGGCTTCTTGTATGCGCTCGCATTAACTATTATAGTTATTTTCTCTTCTTTCCATTTGCGTCTCTTTGATTCGCTGCCGCCCCCCTGTTAGGCTGGCCTATGGCTCCTGGTCAGGCACACACTGTCCATGGTATTTTGGTATCCAGGGACGAGTCGTGTGCGAAGAGGAAAAAAGCAAAATCCGTTCCGGATACTGTATGCGAAACGTTAGATTTAGGCTGATTACGGCCCGAGGGGCGCGATGTGAGTACTAGTAATACGGGAGGGATTCACAATTATTGAGCATGTGCGAGGTTTTATCAAGGGCGAGTCGTAATGCGTGGGTGAGACGACGGGAGGGACCCAGGGCAGGGGATGCTGAGCAACAGTTGCTTTTTTTTGGCCAATTCTTTTTTTTTTTGCCATGACGACTCGCTGTCAACTTGGGATGCTGGTCTCGGCCCTCTGCAGTTGTCCCGATGTACACTGGAGCGCATGTGCCACGGGATCTGGTACCTTGAGCTGGCGAGACAAGACAGGGGTGGCATCTGGAACCCCAGCACGGTGCCAGGCACAGTGAAGATGGACTGGGGGGTCTCGTCGCCACAGGCGGGCGACTGCGGTGGCACGTAAGTAATAAATACTGCTTGCATATGCATGAGTTGTGCATTTTGCACCAGGGCGCACTGGATAACTAGACTGGCATGAACTGGTTTACCAGTGGCGGCCGGGATGACTTGTTTTGACGCAAAGTGACAGCAGACGACGGCGGCAGACGGAGAGACAAAAAGTGTGGGCGGGCGGCACAAGCCAGAACTTACCTGCCTGTAGGTACCTACTAGCCGGCAACGCCGGCAACGAGCTGCCAGCGCCTGTACCAAGGTAATAATAACTAATCCTGGCGGCCCGCGTGCGTGCTGACCTCACCACTACGACACTATTTTCTGCTAACTATGCTGGCAGCTACGTATTATTATCATTATGATTATTTTTTATTCTCTTAGCTTCTCTCATTTATTCCCTGTCCCTTTTCTGCTTCCACCTTGACACCCTCAAACAGGAACCGTCTGCAGGTCCGTCGCTTGCCCGGCTTTCCGCGCACGCCTCTTGCTTTTCCATTTGCTCACATTCCACATTCGATTCATCGCGCCGCCCGCTCATCCACACAACCACCTGTTTTTGCCCGTTTGGCCTGTTTTGCTCCGCGCCCGCCGCCCATCTGAAAATCCTGGCCGACGCACGTCACACATCATCCATCCATCACACATCTCACACACCCACAGCCCACAACCGCTCTCACACACACACTCTCGCTCTTCTCGGCCTCGCCATTTCCACAACACACACAACAACATCGTCCACCCTCAGGCCGTTCAATCCCCCTTGCCCCCCCAGAAGGAAAATACCTCGACTCAGCCGCCCGTCTCCATCTTTCTTCTCTCCATCTTCTCCATCCTCAACTCCCTCATCTTCTCGTTTTAGTTACATTGCCTCATACTCGACCCAACTCTCGTCTCTCGTCGTCTTCGTCTCTCGTCTTCGTCTTCGTCTCGCGTCTCTCGACACCACTTCTCGCGCCTGCGTCACCTCGACCTGCCAAATCCATCCAGCAGCTGCACGCAATACGCACACCTCGCCGAGTCGTCTGCACCTCTTTCGTCATCAACGCGACCCCGGCCGCATCCCCGACTTTGCGCTAATCATCCATCTGACCTCCCATTACCACGCACCTTTGGGCACCAAAATCCACCCCGTCCGCTGTCGTCGTGTCGCTGTCGTCGTCGCTGTCGCTTTCGCCTCCCTCACACGCTCGACACACGCCCGCACACGATGAACCGTTTTGCACCCGTCTCCACCATCATCCATTAAGCCTCGTCGTTCGCTTCTGCTGCCCCGTTGGCATGCATCAACTACAACCAATATCGAAATCATAGCACCAACTGGTACCAGCCATGGACAAGCCGTCTATTCCCTCCGACGGCCCTTCGCAGCCCGCCAACACCCTCCCATCTACAGCCGCCCAACCTGGTAACAACACACCCTCTCGCATCGCCCTTCCCTCCGCATCTGCCGCCTCCGCTGCCGTAGTACCCGTTTCCAATGGCATCCCCAATGCCGCCTCTGCATCAAAGCCTTCGTCGGCCGCCAACTCGACACCCAATCCCTCCCGCGACGGCTCTCCCAGTCGCCTCATTCGAAAGGCCACGTCCTCTAGCCGCCTCGCCGGCAACCGCCCTCGCAAAAACAGCCATCAAGACGTGAGCCCAACCCGCCCGTCTAGATCCCAAATACCCACGCACACGGCCGCTGCTCGCAGTCTCTCAACATCCGCTACCCCCTCGCTGCCACCCGCCGCCAAGGAACCGCACCAGCCAGCAACACCGCAAAAGAACGGCGTTGCACTCTCTGATTCCAGGCAAAATCCTCGATGGCCACTCTCCCCCCGATTGCGATCTCCACCCCCGAGTTTAAACAGGTCTGGCCGTTCATCACCAAGGCCTGAGCCCGACCTGCCTGCTATCAACGTCTTGCAGGCAAGTCCCGCCATCAAGCCCGTTGACAACTACCCTCCAGCCGACAACGACATCGACATCGACGAGTCCAACTACAGCTCCGGCGTCCACACGCCTGTGCGCACCGGTCTGGAAACTGTGCAGGAAGTCACCACTCCCGTCGCCGGCCGCGGCCTCCTGGAGCATGTCAAGGAAAAGCTTGTGGCCCCTGATCCTCAATCCGATGGCGCTCTGAGCGATGGTGGCCGCACTCTGAGAGCTCGCTCCAACCAAGCCCCGGATAACCTTGCCGAGGGTGCCGGTAGAGTCGACATCCGAAGAACCACCTCTGTACCCCCACCCCCCGTCGTTCGTCAGTCTAGCTCGCTGTCGATGAAGCAGGGCAAGGCCAAGACCGAGGGATCTACCCAGAACATGACAGTTGAGACTGAGACTGTCGCCAGCATACCCCAGGTCCCCATCAACACGAGCTCCAAGGCTGATGGCCCAAACGGCACTCTCAAGACCAAGCACAGCACCGAAACCATCAAGCCGAAAAAGGAAAAGAAGAAGACCGTCCGAAAGCAGTCCAACGTTCACACCGGAACATCCGCCTCCAAGGCCGACAACTTTGAGGCCAAGATTGCTAGCGCTGTCGATGAAGCTAATACCTCCGACTCGGAAGAAACCTTTGTCTACGATTCCAATCCCCCAGACGGTACCGACCGCACTGTTCGCCGTTTCCACTCGCGCACGCCCAGTGCCACGTCCATGGCCAGCCAGCCCCCGGATCGCCAAAACGTTCGCTCCATTTACGGCGTCATGGAGGCTGCCGGCCATCACGGCCCCGTTCCCAAGAAGAGCATGAAGTTTGTCAACACATTTAATGGCTCTGGGACAGAAAGCTTGACTCCAGGGGAAGACGATGGCAAGGCCACTGGTCGCAGCGCAGGTGGCTCTGGTCGCGGGACCGCAAGGCACCATCACCACATTGGCCGCTGGGGCCGCCAGCCCAACAACAGTCATCTGTCAATATTCGACAATGATTCACCCTTTGCCAACACGACCCGAGCAAAGCCCCCTACCTCGGCATCTCGAAACTCGTCAGGCCCGACGAGCCCTCGCAACCACCATTCGCCTCGCGGCCAACTGAGCTCCAAGCGCTCTGCTCTTCAAATGTCGTCCATCTACGACATGGACGAGAACACCGGCGCAGATGACGAGCGAACGCCTCTGATCGGCACCGCCCGCTACAGATCCGGTCGCAACAGGCGCGGCCCTCACAATCTCCGTCAGGCTGAGTCTCAGACATATACCCGCCGATCCTCATATCTGAACCGATTCGCGGCATGTCTTGTCCTTACCATGATGTTTCTGTTGGTGATTACTGGTGCCATTGGATTCATGTTTGCCACGTCTCAACCCATGGCTGGCATTGAGATTGTCTCGATTCAGAATGTCGTCACGAGCGAGCAAGTCCTCATCTTTGACCTTTCTGTCAAGGCTCACAATCCGAATATTGTTCTGGTCACGGTCGATCATACCGATTTGGAAATATTTGCCAAGTCAGACCACGGCGGCACTGATTCGGATTGGTGGAAGAAACCTGGACCTGGAGAAGAAATTCAACCGCAGGCCAGCCTTGGAAAGAAACCGCCCAAGGATAAGGACGACGATGATGAAGATGCAGACAAGCGCCCGAATATACTCCTGGGCCGCATCACCGAGTTTGATAGCCCGCTCATGTTTGAGGGCTCACTCTTCCACCAGGGCAGCTCCACCTCGACTGGGGAGATGAAGCTTCAATCGCCTGGAAACGGCACAGCAGGAGGTGTCAAGAGATGGGATCAAATCTACCAAAATGAGTTTGATCTAATCATCAAGGGCGTTTTGAAGTACACTCTACCTCTAAGCGCCCGCGTCCGCAGTGCAACCGTTTCCGGACGTACGACGGTCAAGCCGAACTCAGCCAACGATCCCTCCCTTCAACCTCCCAAATCCAATTCGACGGTACTTGGCACCCCGAACAAATTAACCACCCGTCTTAAGACAACATGGACGGGCTGAACATATTTTTCCTTTGTTTTCATCTCATTTGCGTCTTTTTGATAAGCGTATCGTATCACGGGCAATATATTTGGCGTTGGATTGCACAGTTCCGACAAGATACAGGAATTGTTTACGAAAAGGACACATGAGGAAACCACACCGATTTCAAGCTAGGCGGAGAGAGTTCAACGCCGGCACTCGTCACCCCTCGAGCGATGCATAGCTCTGAAGTGGTGATGTAGCTGATACGCGGAGAAGACGTTTCCTCTTTTGCAGACCTGAAAAAAAGCGAATCTCCTTTTCTTGCTTTATGATAGACGGGAGGAATCGCACTTATACCCCCTTGAATGTATTTGTAACGGCTTTACGACACACACAGACATACATATTGAAAAAAAACTTACACCTGGAACAAGACAAGACGCACAGCAACAAGGTGAATGTCAAAGTGAAGATGTATTAAAAATTGAGGAGGGACGGATGCCCATGAAATTTTCACAATACTTTACACGGTTTTTGGTAATATACTCGATAATAATCTGGCCAACTAGACCTCCTAATTACCGTGCGGCACACGAGTCAAATTACGAGGCGGAATCACAGTCGAGTTGCTGCCCGGAACAGTCGAGTTGCCACATGGAACAGTTCCGTTGGCGTTGGGAGCAGGACCTTGCTCGGGCTCGGGCTCGTCCTCACCCTCGACGTAGTTGACGCGCTCGTCACTAAACGCCGTCATCATGCGCTCCACCTGGCCCGGGGTAAACGTGTAGAGGCACGCATCATCCGAGTAGTCCATGTAGTTGTGAACGGGATCCGGCCCCGGCATCGACGTGGGATTCTCCGCCTCCAAGCTCCCGGTGCACGTATCTCGGCCCTACCAGTCTTTGTTAGACCTGGAAAGTTCTATTTCTACTTTATCACCAAGGGCCAAAAAAAAAGAACACTCACAACTAGACAACCATACGCGGCGGTGCCTTCGGCGGGCGTGTCAAAGATGTAATCGCCCGGCCCGCGGCACCCGGCCAGCTCGTCGTCGTCGGCCGCGTCGTCGGGCGGGTCAAACGTGTGCAGCAGGCTCAGCCAGTGGCCGACCTCGTGCACCAAGGTGACGCCCTGGTTGAACGGGTTTGCGGCGAGGCCGGGCAGGACGACTGGGTGCACGATGACGCCGTCGAGGGTGAGGGTGCGCTTGCTGGTTGGCTTCTCGGGAAAGGTGCTGTGGTATTTGTATTTGTGAGTGCCGAGAAGGAGTTTTTTTTCGAAAGAGAGAGAGAGAGTAGAGGGAAACAGAAAAGACGTACGCGATGCCGAGGACGTTGCCCAGCTCAGGTGGCGCCGTGAGGCTCGCGACATACACGTTGAGGGTCGCATAGTCGCCCCGTCGCAACGCGCTCTTCATGGTGAGCTCCGTCTCGCTGGAGACTTCGACATGTTGCCAGCCGGGCGCGAGGACGTAGTCGGCGGTGGCGTTTAGGATAAAGGAGAAGCCGGCCTCGGCGTACGCCTTGTTCAGCACGGCGACCTAAGGGGGGGGGGGTTAGCAGCCGCGGCAGGGACTTGCAGGAAAGGTTCGAGGGGGGTCACCTGGCGATCAATAGCCGCGTGGGGGATGTGGCCGCCGGCGAGGGTGTTGTTGGCTGTGATGACGTGAAAGTAGGTGGGAATCTCCAACGTCTGGCCCGGCTCGTGGCGGCGGCCGAGGAGGGGATCGGCGGCGTAGGAGGCGTGGAGAGCCTTGATGGGCTGGTTGGCGACGGTGCCGCACTGGGCGGAGGCGAGGGTGCAGAGACTGCTCAGGAGGACGGAGGAGAGCCGCATCGCGAATCGACTTTGGCACAAAGAGTGACGAGGCTATATATAGTTGGTGTGTCACGATAAATAATGCTACGCGGAGGAATAGGAAGGGATCGTGACGTTTCCAGACCTCTTATATATACTTTGATTCAAAGTCCATAAAGCCCAATTGGATCAGTTCTTCCCGTATTACGGCATATCGTTTCCTTCTTGTTCCAGGTTCGCCGCGAGGCAGGAGCAACTATATCAAGAAAACTTGCCGATCCCTACCGACAACTTGCCACCGCCGCCCCCCCCAAGCTCTTCCCCGACATCTTGCAATGACCCGCGCTTCGTCCACTCTTGGGCATATTCCTCTTTCATATGAGCCGTGTCTTGCCCTACGCGAGCGGGACCGCTTCGGGCGCGAGTCACGGCCGCTTCGGGCGCGAGTCACGGCCGGGCCGGGGTTGTCGGCGAAGCTGCTGCCAAGCGGGCCTGTTCCCGGCGATGGAGAAGTGCAAGGCAAAAAAAAAAGAGAAAGAGTTGGCGGCACAGCCACGGGCGCATTGTGAGGCGATGAGTGGGGGAAATTTGCCAAGTGGTCTGTTATGATGCTAATAAGCTTAAGAAATGGAATTTCGGTTTCGCGATGGGAATCAAACGTTCCGAGGTGGATAGGAAGTAATATAGCCGCCCAGTGAAGCAGCTCACGATGTGGCTGAAGATGGAAAACGCCTTGCCAAGCCAGGGGCAAAGCCTCCGCTGCCCATATTCATCCTGTTTCTTGGTCATTGATGCTAACAGAGGGGAAATGAACCAGCAGACATCATAGGCACGTTTACTATTACCCTCAATGACACGGGGTTTGCCCGCTACCTCATACTATAGTCTCCGTAATCAAAGATAGCAAAAGAAATGCACTGCTGATTCTATTCTCCTAAATGATCATGTAAAAGAAAACTCCGTATTTTTGTATTCCCGGAACGCCATTCCGCTTTGCCCGTAAATAAACATTTCATCAAAATACCAAGCCTGCAACACAAATCCTGACACACACCCCCTCGGGGAGCAGTTATGAAAAGTGAATGCCCTCTTCGTTAAACGCAAACAGCAGCTGCAAAAAGTCCGTCTCGTCGCACTTGCCTGCGCGCTTGTCCGCGAGCTCCGTCACGTCCTCGAGGACCTTGCGAATCTTTTCACGGACCAGCTCCGCCACCTTTGTCTTTTTGCGCTTGCTCTTGGTCTTGGCCGGGGCGGCGCTCGCGGCCACCTCCTTGAAGAAGGCCGGGGTATCGTCGTCTTCCTCGTCGACATCCATGCCGCCGTCGTCGTCCGCGCCGCCGTCCATGGCAACATCCTCCTCCTCCTCCTCCTCCTCTTCGGCCGCGTCCTCGACCAGACTGTCGTCGACGGCCACGCCATTCATGGCGCACCACGTGCGGTAGTTGCGCTCCACCATGGCCAGCACCTCCTTGGTGCCGAGCCAGCTGGCGCGGAGCGTCTTGTTCTTGCGCACAAAGCACACGCGCAGCAGCCCGTCCCACTCGTCCCAGCTGACATTGGGCCGGTCCTTGCCGACCTTGGGCTCGATGCGCACCACCGAGGACTCGACCTGCGGCGGGGGGCGGAAGTTGTTCTTGCCCACCTTCATGACGTGCGTGATGCGCGCCCAAAACTGCGCATTCACCGACAGTCGGCAGTAGAGCGTGTCGCCGGGACGGGCCGTCAGGCGAAGCGCAAACTCGCGCTGGAACATGAGGATGGACGTGCGCGGCGGGTTGGGCATGGCCAGCAGCTTGAAGACGAGCGGCGACGAGATCTGGTAGGGCGTGTTGGAGATGCACACGTCAAACGGGGGCAGCTCCGTCTTGATGACGTCGCCGAGGAGCACCTCGAGCTTGCGCTGCTCGGGCGTCCCTTGCACGCGCTTTGTCACCTCGGCCGCCATGCGCGGGTCGACCTCGACGCAGATGCATTTTTTGGCCCGCTCCAGGATGCGTATCGTCAGGTTGCCAGTGCCGGGGCCGACTTCGAGCACCGTGTCGGTCGGCTTGAGGTAGGCTTTCTCGACAATGGCGTCCGAGACACCCGGGTTCTTGAGAATGTGCTGGCCAAAGTTGGTGTTGAACTTGAAGACGTTGTTCTTGGCGGACTTGCTGCCGCCGCTGTTGTTGTTGGAGGACTGGTTCGGCCGCTCGTAGGGGGAACTCGAAGCGCCGCCGCGCTTGGGTGTCTTGACTTTGCCCATGTTGGGCAATGGGGAGTGTAGAGGTGACTCGTAGAGACGTGAGACGTGCGAGTGAAGATGATGTCTTGAAGAGTGGTGGAGGGGCGGTCGGTATAGCAGGAAACTTTTTTTGGTGGAGGGCTATCGATAACGGGATAGTGGGTGCAAATTTGGTCTAGATGCTGGTGCAAATTTGGTCGTGATAGGTGGTGGCGTCGATTAATTAGCACCATGTGGAGTCCATCCGCACGCCCTTCTTCTAGGCAGTTAAAAGCTTCTGGCAGGCAGACAACTCTTGAACAATCACGCATTTGCTTACCCCTTCGTTTGTGTACTCGCGCACACAGCGCCACAGTATCCGACGCTCATCGGCAGTTCCGCCTGGAGATAGCCTGTATTGCAGCTACGATGACAACCCGCCGCGACTTTCTAGGCCAGCCGGCGCCGGAGAACTACGTGGCAGGTCTGGGTCGTGGTGCTACTGGCTTCACGACGCGATCTGATCTCGGCCCCGCGCGCGACGGCCCCAGCGACGACCAGATCAAGGAGGCGCTGGCCAAGCGTGCCCAGCAGCTTGGACTCGCTCCAGAAGGTGGCGCCAAAAAGGGCAAGGACGAGGATGAGAGCGGCGGCGGCGGCGGCGGCGGCGACGACGAGCGATTCCAGGACCCGGACAACGAGGTAGGCCTCTTTGCAGGCGGTCTCTACGACAAGGACGACGAGGAGGCCGACAAGATTTGGGAATGGGTCGACGAGCGCATGGACCGGCGCAAGCGCCAGCGCGAGCAGCGCGAGGAGGCCGAGCGCGACGAATACGAGCGCAACAACCCCAAGATTCAGCAGCAGTTTACCGACCTGAAGCGCGCCTTGGCCACTGTATCGGACGACGAGTGGGCGAACCTGCCCGAAGTCGGCGACTTGACGGGCAAGAACAGGCGGAGCAAGCAGGCCCTACGGCAGCGCTTCTACGCCGTCCCCGACAGCGTCCTGGCCGCGGCGCGCGATTCTACCGAGATGGGCACAATGGTTACGGATGATGGCGGTGCGTCCTCGAGCGGCGAGACGTCCGACGGCACCATGACCAACTTTGCTGAAATTGGTGCGGCGCGTGACAAGGTGCTGAAGTCGCGGCTGGAACAGGCCTCACGATCCGGCAACGGCGATGCCGCCAACGGCAGCTCTACGAGCATCGATCCCCAAGGCTACATTACGAGTCTCAACAACATGGTCATGCCCGAGTCTGCCACGCAAGTTGGTGACATCAACCGCGTGCGCGAGCTGCTGCAGTCAGTCGTCAAGACGAACCCCAACAACGCGCTGGGCTGGATAGCGGCCGCCCGGCTGGAGGAGCTGGCCGGCAAGACAGGCGCCGCGCGCAAGACGATTGACCAGGGCTGCGAGCGGTGCCCCAAGAGCGAGGACGCGTGGCTGGAAAATATTCGCCTCAACCAGGAGAGCAACAACGCCAAGATTATCGCGCGGCGGGCGATCGAGGCCAACAATCGTTCAGTGCGGCTGTGGGTCGAGGCGATGCGACTGGAGCACATCCCCAACAACAAGAAGCGCGTGATCCGGCAGGCGCTAGATCACATCCCCGAGTCGGAGGCGCTGTGGAAGGAAGCGGTCAACCTGGAGGAGAACCCCGACGACGCCAAGCTGCTGCTGGCCAAGGCGACGGAACTGATCCCGCTGTCAGTGGACCTATGGCTGGCGCTGGCGCGCCTCGAGACGCCGGCCAACGCGCAAAAGGTGCTCAACCGGGCGCGCAAGGCTTGCCCGACGTCGCACGAGATTTGGATCGCAGCCGCCCGTCTGCAGGAGCAACTCGGCCAGGCGAACAAGGTCAACGTCATCCAGCGCGGTGTCCAGGTGCTGGCCAAGGAGCAGGCGATGCCCAAGCGCGAGCAATGGATCGCCGAGGCCGAGACGTGCGAGGCTGACGGCGCGACCATCACCTGCGAAAACATCATCCGCGAGACGCTCGGATGGGGCCTCGACGAGGACGACGACCGCAAGGAGACATGGACCGAGGACGCGCGCAGCAGCATCAACCGCGGCCGGTACGAGACGGCGCGCGCCATCTACGCCTACGCGCTTCGCGTCTTTGTCAACAGTAAGACGCTGTGGCACGCGGCGGCCGACCTCGAGCGCGCGCACGGCTCGCGCGCGTCGCTCTGGCAGGTACTCGACAAGGCTGTCGAGGCGTGCCCGCACAGCGAGGACCTATGGATGCTACTGGCCAAGGAAAAGTGGCAGGCGGGCGAGATGGACGGCGCGCGGCTCGTGCTCAAGCGCGCTTTCCAGCAGAACCCGAATAACGAAGACATTTGGCTCTCGGCCGTCAAGCTCGAGTCGGAGAGCGGGCACGCCGAGCAGGCGCGCAAGCTGCTCGCCGTCGCGCGCGAGCAGGCGCCCACGGACCGCGTCTGGACCAAGAGCGTCGTGTTCGAGCGCGTTCATGGCGATGCCGACGCCGCGCTCGACCTCGTTCTGCAGGCGCTTCCCCTCTTCCCCGCCGCGCCCAAGCTGTGGATGCTCAAGGGGCAGATATACGAGGCGCTTGGCAAGACGGGCCTCGCACGCGAGGCCTACGCGGCCGGCGTCAAGGCCGCGCCGCGCTCTGTCCCTCTGTGGCTGCTGTACGCGCGCCTCGAGGAGGGCGCGGGGCTGACGGTCAAGGCGCGGTCGGTGCTTGACCGCGCCCGTCTCGCGGTGCCCAAGTCGCCGGAGCTCTGGTGCGAGTCGGTGCGTCTGGAGCGCCGCGCGGGTCAGCTCGCGCAGGCGCGGGCCCTCATGGCGCGGGCCCTCCACGAGGTGCCCCGGAGCGGGCTCCTCTACGTCGAGCAAATCTGGCACCTCGAGGCGCGCACGCAGCGCAAGCCGCGCAGCCTCGACGCCATCAAAAAAGTCGACAACGACCCGGCGCTGTTTGTCGGCGTCGCGCGGCTCTTTTGGGCGGAGCGCAAGCTCGACAAGGCGCAGGCCTGGTTCGAGCGCGCGCTCGCGCTCGACGCTGCCCGCGGCGATACGTGGGCCTGGTATTACCGCTTCCTGGGCCAGCACGGGACCGAGGAGAAGCGCGCCGAGGTTGTGGCCAAGTGCGTGTCGTGCGAGCCCCGGTACGGCGAGACCTGGCCGGCCGTGGCCAAGAAGCCCGAGAACGCGCACAAGAGCGTCGAGGAGCTTCTCAAGCTGGTGGCTGAGGAGCTGGATCAGTAAAAGATCGGGGTCGGTCGGGCCCCGGAGGGCATGGTCTGTACAATAATTAGCTGGTTCATTTGGGGGGTTTTCCTTTATGCAATCGTCAGCTTGGGAACAATATTTGGAGTTTGATATCATGTAGAGGGCCAAGACACGGCCAAGACAAAAATAAATTCACACAAAGTTAGTCATGAGGTGACCCAAGGGACGTGATAGTGTGTTCAATTAATTGGAGGGATTTTGATTTTTTTTCCTATAGACGAGGCTGTAAACGCGTTGACTGACAAAGGAAAGCAAGACGTTGAAACAAGAGCATTTCAATTTGGGGAACTAGCAAGTTATTTGCCGCCGAACCAGCTAGAGATGCCGCTCTTGGCCTTTGAGGCGCCGTCCTCGACCGTCTTGTCAAACTTGTCGACGGCCTTGAGGGCCTCTGCTCTCGCATCCTTGACGTAGGCCTCGGTCTTGTCGCGGGCCTGGCCGACGCGCTGGTCAGCCTGCTGCCACTGTGTGGGAAAAGATTGAGCATTAGCGGTCTGCGGTCCATGTCTGTTGTCCCCAAAGGTGGACGGAGCTTACAGCCTTGTCGAGCTTGGCACCGGCCTTGTCGATTTTGGCGCCGGCCTCGGAGCCGAGGCTCTCGAGCTTCCGGGTGGCGTCTGGCGACGAGCCTCCCGTGCCGGGGATGGCCGACTTGATGTTGGCGCGGGCCTTGTGGAGGTCGCCTTGGTATTCGGGTGAGTCAAGGTTGCAAAAACATTGTGGAAGAGCTTCGCGCGCCGGGCGGGTGGCGAGTGCAGCAAAAGCAGGGCTAAAAGAAAAGACGTACTCTCAAACTTGTTCTCGGCGGCCTTGGCGTTGCCGCCGGCGCTGTACAGGTAGTATCCGATACCACCAGCGGCACCGAGGCCGAGGATCAGGGGCATGCGCGATTTGGACATTGTGTAAAGATTTGGTTTGTTTTTGAATTGGGTGGTTGTGAGAGAGATGGGATTTGGCGGGTGGTGTGAGGGAGGGAGAAGGAAAGAAAGTGGTGTGATGTAAGAGGAGGAGGAGGGGGGCGGATTATGTTTGGGTGAGCACGGCTGGGGGGGAAAGAGAAACAAGGCTAGAATCGGGATTCGCCCAGGAACTTACTGATGGGTTCTACCCACCTAGGCAAAGCATTTAGCAAGGAGGGAGAAAATCGAAGAGAAGGCGCAGACTAGCTTTCCCAGCTCTCGTGGCAAGCTAGGCTCCACGACCGAGCCATGAAAGAGGTAGCGAATACCTTGGTCAGAAACGGCGCTTGGCCCTCCAGGAAGCTTGGAGGCGTCGCGTAGCGAATAATATGGGACAGTTTGTTCCTGGTACTTGTGTGGCATGTGCAATAACTGCCGTTGTTTATTGGACCGAACTAATAAGGCAGAAGAGGCAGGGCTAGGGGGGGGGCTGCAAGGCGCGTCTGATGCTCATAAATCGGGGATCAACAATACAAGACATTATATTGACTACTCTTTGAGGTAGGGAAAAAGGTCCATCTTGTTGCACCGTTTCTCGAGCAAAACATGCTCTCTTGGTTCAAACGGAACGACGGAGAAAACGGGCTATTGTTGCAGGAATATACATGACGTAATGAGGCGGCGGGTCGAAAGGAATCGAGGCCATCGCGGGGAGCTCTTGAAAGTGGGCCGCCGGGGAGCTTCAGTGGGGGCTCGTTAGCGGGTTGATCAGCTAAAAAGCAGTGGGCTCGTTACAGCGGTCGGTACTCTGTATTCACAACCATTCTTTGCAAACGGCTCCATCAATTATTCCCTCGGGCATGGGGAAACACATCTATTCGGCAGCCTTTCTTCAAAACATCTCGATAGCCTGTATCCGCACGAAAAAGAGACCGAACCACGTGGCGTGGGCACAGACCCTCGCCACTCCACCGGGTCTATGCCAAACGACTGTTGGTTCATCTGGGAATGAACTGTTGGTCGACCCAATTTCGAGTAGCCGGCCCGCGACGTTGTACACGCGCCGCATGTTCTGAAACGCCCTATACATCATGTCTTGGTACTTGCGGGCGCCCGTCACGCGCATGCACGTGGTACAGCGACTGCACCGTCCTCCGGTCTGAGACCGTTGACGAGGATGCCGACTGAGATAAAATTTGCCACCTCCGACGCGGCAGTGCTGCTTTGGCCATGACAAGCCTTGGGAAAGGTGAGGTCGGCGCGGCTGGACGCGTGTGTTCCGAGGTGCGCCACGCTTCTGTTGCGCCAGAGGGCGCCCACCCAGCTGGTCTATTGATCCAATGGCACAAGAAAGGGAAACGCCCAATCAGACCTACCCTAGTCGCCTTCGATATTGGCCATGATGTGAGCGCGTTGATCCATTGATAGGCCGGTCTGCATCCCGGCCGCATACTGTGACGAAGGTCCGATGTCTGCTGACATTGACTGCCATTCCGGCGTTCCCTCAGTCTATAATAGCTGCAGCCAGCAGCCTGGTCCAACGACCTACACAATTTACTTGCGAAGTTTTGCTAATGCGGCAGCAATTCCCTCCGAGAGTGCTTCAGGCTCAGGCTGCGCTACTTTGCTGATCGTGTCTGCCGGTTTGGAAGCAGTGGCCGCGGCAGCGTCTAGCTCATCCTCCTCGTCGTCCGTGTCCCCACGAAAGTGAAACTGCTTGCTCGAATGGGCCGCCTGACCTGTTGTTGTCGTTTCAGCGGCCGAGACAGCTGGCATGTCGCGCAACGGCACGCGCGAGAGCGGCACTGCCTCTTGCAGCCGCGATGCTCCGGGCTCAGCAGGGGCGGCGACGGCAGCGGCACCACCCGTAGGCAGGACACGCTTGGAGGCATTCTTGGCGCGGAATGGCTCCTCGATCGCGGCGCTCCAGCGCTTGACCTTGACACCGCCCCAGCCGCTCAGCATGCCAAGCTGCTCCGCGTCGGCATTGATGGCGTTTCGGAGGCTGCCGAAATTGGCCACGAGCGCCACAGCGTCGGATTTGTTCAAGCTGCGCGGGACCGTAACAAAGTCGACAAGTCGCTCTGCGTAGCTCGAAGACTGCTTGCCGCGGATCGCTTCGAAGCTGGCGTGCTCGTAGGCCTTGTACAGCTCCAAGTAGCGCGCCGCCTCGGCGGCAGACCAGCACGATATAATGGTGACATTATTGACCATGGACGTCTTGGACAGCTCGCGGAGAGGGTCTTCGTGATTCGGAATATCAATCATCGTGAGTAGAATTCGCAGGTTGTATTTGCCTTGCAGGTTTCGAATTCGGGTGTAGACGTATTCAGGATGGAGGCGGTGGTATTTGAGACTTTGCCGTAGAAGCGAGGTCAACATACGTGAAATCTATCAATTCCAAACACCATACCTTAGAAACAGCACGGCCGTCATCGTGACCCCGAGAATGTAGTCGGCCGGGATATCGCTGTACTCCCAGGGCATCGACTTGATGTGCGTCAGGACCGGATTGCCGCGCTGCCGCGGCGAGACCAGGATATTGGAGGCGCCTTGTCTCTGCGGGAGCGACTGCGGCGTCGGCTGCACCACTTTGCCTCCTCCCGGCCCTGCGGCCGCGGGTGGTGGTGCCTTGTCGAGGCGCTGCGGCACGGGCTGCTGGATCTTGTGCGGTCGCGGCTGCTGCTGCGGAGGCGCGGGCCGGCGTGCGACGGGCGTCGGATCGGCGGCGGCCATGGCGGCCAGCAGCGCATCGTCGGCTCCGTATTCGTCGGCCATGGCGAAGTTGGCTTCCGGACTCGACGTTGTTTTTTCTTGTGCTAGTTGCGCATGCTTGTGAGGTTCTAGTGGGTTCGTGTTTGGTTGGGAAATTCACGATCGCTCCACAAACAACCGCCGCCCCCACTACGATTGAAGCATGACGCATGACATAAGATGCCGTTCGTTGCACGACAGAATCGCTATAAGCACCAAAAATTGGCTCAGATCATGGGACTAGACTAACGTCCTTGAGTAGTCGAAGAAGATTCGGGAGAAAAAAAGCCAGTCTCAATTCGTTACAGGACTTGCTCCCTCGCTAGTGTCATATAAACTCTGCTTTCGAATTGTCGGGCGACGAGTCAACTAAGTAGAAAATTCTATATAATTCTAAAAGAATTATGTGCTAATCGTAGTTTTTAAGACATCCACTTGACTGTGTATGGTGTAACCACTCAGGACGCCTCCCTTTTCTCTTGTTCTCCCATAACCACTTAGAGCGACCGAGTAAGCGCCCACCTTGCGTGGCGGCCTCGTCCCGGCCCGGCCTGATCCCCGCACAACTCCTTCCATGCATTTGTCGTGTCAAGGTATGATAGGTTCCTAGAAAAGAGGGGTAAAGAAAGAAGAGGGGTAATCATTTATAGATAAGAAAGCTCAAGGAAGCCAGCAGAAGCCATCAGCTCCTTTGGATTCACCAGGCAACCCCTTCATTGCTATTATGTGCCGCGAGATCAATACCACGACGACGTATTCCAACTGCCCGTCCGAATGCGACACTGCGAATCGCGAAATCTTTACCGACGGGTGTAAGAAGTATGCAACGAGCAGCATCGAGTGCACAGGGCAGGATTTGATTGTGGTATACTTGGGCCAGTCAACCAGTCGCGACCTGTGCCCAAAACACATAGATGAGGGCTATTCTGCACGTTAAGTAAGTAACTAGCAATACAGGTTTAGTAGACCCCGGCTAACAATCTAAGGGAGCTCTGAATAAAATTTCTAGCATAGTGTTGATGTGATCATTTGGCTATAGCTAAAGCATTGACAATTTGTTGCGCATTATCCCAGTGACCAGTCCAGCACCAGTGAATAATATTGCCATACTGTAGCATAGACACCTCAGGGAAAGCTGCCGACTTAAAGCGATCATGAACCTCTTTTTCGGTAATATCATGATACGGTTCATGTCCAGTCTGGATGAAGTAAAATACAGAGCCAAGTGCAAATAGGTCGTCGGCATACGTCGGGTCCCAGCTCCATCCCGGTCGCTGGAACCTAGCGCTTGTCGTGTTTGCTGGGCGGGAGCCAGCGACTGAAGATCCTGCGAAATCTGCGATATGTAGCTCCAGAGCCTCGTTAAGCATGAAATTGCGGGGGGTAACATCACAGTGTATGATGTCCGCCGAATGTACCGCGGCCAGCGCCTCTGCGGCGTGTCTCATCCACAGCTGTCTCTGGTCGCTCGTTACCGTCTGGTTGTAGCGCTCGAGATATGATCGTAGATCCCCATTTGCAAGATATTCTAGGACCAGAGAGCATGCGCTAGCATCCCAGTGTATCAGTCTTGGAACACGCGCATTATTACCAATGCGTTGATAAGCTTTAGCTTCTGTCTCCATCTGTTGGCGGTATGCATTCTCCTTCTCAGGGCAGTATGGATTTGGTTTTGGGTATTTTATGATGTCGCCAGATTCCAGTCTATCCACAAATGATGTCGCTCCAGTACCAACATATTCCCCCTTATTATAGAAGTAGATGTCTCCGTGAGGTACCGTATCTGGGATAACAAAGGCGTGTTCAGGCAAGGTCGGTAACAGGTGACGGCGCCAAGGTCCTTGTCTTCGGCGGTATGTCAATACTCGGGGGCATATATGCGGACTCGGGGCCTGTTGCCGGGTTGTCAGTGTGTATTCTTAGGCGTGTATTAAAAAGTACGGACAGATTGAGCCACTGTCGTCTGGCTAGGGCTGTCCAGCAGTCGCCAAAAGAGCGTCACAGCTCTCTGGCATTGCGTGACTATAGCACGCCAAAACCAGTCAATAAAGTAAAAGGTCATGATGGGGCGAACTCAGCGGCTCGCCTTGGAGGAAGCCTGAGGAAAGTTAGGAGAAGAGGGCGAGACCTGGGGCCAAGGTGGCTTGTCAGGAGTACGTGACAGCGTTGTACCCACCCAGCACGCGTCTGCCCCCTGTCGCCCATGTGGGGTCCGTTAACAACGGTAGAAATGTCGCGTAGCAGCAAAAGCGGGATCCACACCTTGCTGGCATGAATTTGATCTTAAGTACTGTTCAACAAGAAACGCCTATTACCTCCGTTGCTTTCCCTCCAAAAACGGAGATGCCATTGTGGAGCAAGCTACAACTCCATTTGGGAACCCACACTACGGAGTCATCATTATAAAGAACTAGACGGGACGCGATATTTCTACTGCCTATGGCCGTATGTACTAGGTATTTACTAAAATCGCTATATATATCTGATATCACAGTCGTCCTGGAATGTCCCGCTAGGGTGCTCGGGCTACTCATCAGGTGGATGGATAGTTGGTGAATGTTGGATGATGGGTGGAGTGACGAACGAGGGCGAGAACGTGGAACCAACACGACATGACCACCTGTACGCCCATCTCAGCGTAGAGCACAATTAGAACTAAAAAGACAGGCACAAGTCCAGCTGCCGGGAAATCAATTCAATCTCGGCCAAATTGTCCAACTGCAAGACTGCTCGCAGTGATCCCAGCAGGGTTAGGGAGTGGCGAAATTAGCCGTCGGGAAAATAGTGTTGGTGGGGAGCATAGCAGGAACCGGCACAAAACAGACAACCATTGCTGACTGTTAAATAGTTACCCATGTTACGCTTATACCGTTTATGAGTTCATGGGAGGCCTTAATTCCTATCGGACGAGCAGTCCATGATGCTACCATACGTGTCATCAGTTCGGAACCGAGCGCATGACACGCGCAGGGTTTGGCTCGAAATCATATATGGAATACTTTTTTTTATTCTCGACCTTTTGCTGGCAGAGACTCCGGAATCAATCAACCCCTCTTCCGGTTGTAATCAAGTGGTGTCGAGCTAGTCATTTCCACCACGTCAGACTAGGTAGGCTTTTGACTGGGAAGGCACACTTTCAGTCCTGGGACAAACCAGAGGCAGCTGGAAACATGTCAGATTAACCAAGCTTCCAATATTGACTCTACCTCGCACTTGATAGTGTTCAAAAACGGCCGACGTCGGACAGGCGCGTGGTGATGACCCCCATTCGGTTCCCCCACATCGGCCTCTAGGCCGCGGACGGCGGCTCTCGTCCACCAAATATATCCCGACGCTTCTTCAATAAGACGCCACTTTGGGCATCTCATGAATTGATTCTCCCATAGGCCTCCTCAAGGGAAATACAAATACCCACCGAATTCCCTCTAGCCTTGCCCATCTCTTGACCCATTTCCCCTCAAACATCTCCTGCCCCTCCCCCGCACCCCGCAATCTTCATCATGACCGACATCACCATCACCGGCTTCCGGTCGCGCGACGTGCGCTTTCCGACGTCGCTCGACAAGACGGGCTCCGACGCCATGAACGCCGCCGGCGACTACTCTGCCGCCTACTGCATCCTGGACACCGACTCGCCGCACGCCGGCCACGGCATGGTACGCGCGGACATCCCATTTCCGCCGCCTAGGCACGTTTCTGATGCTAATTAGTGACACCCGGGGTCTCGCAGACCTTTACCATTGGACGCGGCAACGACATTGTGTGCGCCGCCATCGACCAGGTCGCCGACCGCCTCCGCGGCAAGACGCTCGCCGCGCTCGTCGCCGACTGGGGCGCGACCTGGCGGTACCTCGTGTCGGACAGCCAGCTGCGGTGGATCGGCCCGGAAAAGGGCGTCATCCACCTCGCGCTCGGCGCCGTCGTCAACGCCGTGTGGGATCTGTGGGCCAAGGTGCTCGGCAAGCCGGTGTGGCGGGTCGTTGCCGACATGACGCCCGAGGAGTACGTGCGCTGCATCGACTTCCGGTACATCACCGACGCCGTGACGCCGGCCGAGGCCGTGGCGCTGCTGCGCGCGGCCGCGCCCGGCAAGGCGGCGCGCGTCGCCGAGGC